GGTGTGACTTGCTGTGAGGAGGTGAGTTCCCACCAGAGTGGGACAGTGACACTGAGGAGGGGTTCCCCATGGCCACAGAGTGTCTTCAGGGGGGCTCATCCCACCTCCCTGGAGCTCCAGGGGGCATAGTGGGAGGGGCCAGGTTCCCTGTGGGAGGGGCTTCTTTCCAGCATGGGATTCTTTAACTGTTTTGGCAAAGTCTAGGCTCCTGGCCGCCCAGTGAGGTTTTGAGTCTAGCCTCTTCACCTGGGTCACTGGTTAAGAGGAGTCTTTATTGGTGTGGATGACACTGGTCCTCCTGCCTCAGATATGCCTCTTATGATGCCCAAAAGTTTGGGGGGTGTTGGCTAGGTTCCAATAAAGGACATGGCCCCACCAAAATCTTTATGGAGCATCCGACCCATCCCCAGAATATCCCTTTTAGAAATAATATTTGTTGAAAACCTGTTCAGCTCATCATTCCTCAAGGGTAGAGCTAGAGGATTTCCAAATGAACATTTCCTGGCCCACTAAGAAATTCCTGCTTTCTCCTGACAACCATGTTAACAGACATTCCAAGAATGGCTTTACATGAATGTGATATATGCCTTTATAACACATGTGGCTCTGATTTTCAAAAGAAGCAGAGGTGGTGTTGGTTTCTCTAAAAGGTATAGCAGTCCAAAGGAGGTAAAGCAGAGATACAAGGTTCAAGAGAGGGGCACAAAGTAAGACAGATCATTTAGAAGAATGGAAAACAGTGGATGGATTAGGTGTTTGTCTTTTTAAAGTAAACACATGCTCCTCGGGGTCTTCCCTGTTGTCCTTGTGCTCTTGCAACATCGTTACTAATTTCTAACATTTCCAGAGCACTTCCTCCACATCAGGCACTATGCTAAGTAAGTGTTTTACTCATTTATCCTATAGAGTAGGTACCATCATCACTGGAGTATAGAAATGACAAAAACGGACACTGAGAGGTCAATTCATTTCCCCCAAGATTGCACAGCTGGTAAGAGGCAGAGTGGGGGTCTCAGCCAACACAATCATCTCCAGGCTTCGGATTCTATCCATTTTACAACCTTTAGCAAAGCCCTCGGCACTGTATTGCAGTTGTAGGTAGACGGTGAGCCCTTGCATGAGGGCCTGGGTCTTAATCATCCACGCCACATGCCCATTGTAAATTTGGAGGAAACACTTATGAAATGTTGGATGAACGGGCTGTTCACTTTTATTATTGACTTGTCTCAGTGAAATGAATTCACAGAGCAGGTATGTGCCTGCAGGACAGTGTTCCACGGGTGAAACTACAATTCAGGGTTTTTCTGTTGGGTGTTTAGGGCCCACTGTTGAGCTAAATAATCAATCCCACTGGGTGGGCCAAGCTGCTCTGCTGAATGTTTATCCTCTTGTACACAGTTGAAGAGAGACAAGACTTTGATGAACACCTTCCAGGACAGGTGTCCTACTCTGTTTTCAAGACCATCACAGACCAGTTCCTAAGGGGAGTGGACACCAGGGGAGAATTGGAGGTCAGAGCTCAGAGCTGTAAGGCTGCCCTTGCAATAGACATCGTAGCCAAGCTCACCGCTGTTGACAACCACCCCATGAACAGGGTGCTGGGCTTTGTAACCAAGTACCTGAGAGACAACTTCTCGCCCTGGGTCCAGCAGCATGGAGGATGGGTAAGTGCATCCTGTTTAAAGATGAATGTTCCCAGAATTCAGAGGAGATGGATGGAAAATTGTTTTATTTAAGTGAGGGAACGTGTCTTTGAAGCCACTCTCATGGGGTTAGGACACTTGAGTGGCAAGAGATGTATCCCATTGATGGGAACATACTTTTCATGATTATCTTCATCATCAATAAATAGTGAGCTCCCAAAGGGTATGTGGAGTGTGTGTGTTGGGGGAGAGGGACTGGTCAGATGTAATAGGAAATGAAGAGTTGTTGAAAATGTAAAATGTTTAGACAGATATAATTTCTGTTTTTCACCAGTTTTTCAGGCAACCAAAGTCTGGCAGTGAAATGAGAAGAGGCAGATGGTTCCCTACCCTCTCAGGTGTTGGCAGTGCACAGGGGTGATCCCCAGGCAGAGACTTGGGGCTTGTGACATTTTATCATTGCTCCTTGGACCCAGCCATTTTGACAGGGAATATCTTGATTTCAGCTAAAAAAAGTAGTTAAATTTTCATTTGTTTTTAATTACATGTCATCAAGCAGAACAGACAGCTTCATCCCCATGCCTTAGTCTCAACCCCTCTCCCATCCCTTATCCTCTTTCCTTGAGATTTCCTCAAAACTGCCATGTTAAGTGGCTGCACAAGGGCAACTTTGTTAAGATGCCTCACCCCAGAGCTTTAAATCTCAATAGGTCTAGAGCACTTTTGTCTGTTCAAGCCCTTCGCCAGAGGACAGGCCTTTGCTCCACACTATCCTTAGTCCTCCTCCCCCTAGAATGGTCCCAGGACCAGCAGCAGGTTTAAGGCTGCCCTAGACATGGCCCGTATGGCCCTGGAGCCTCCAAACAAGCTTGATCTCTTTGCTACCAGAAGGAAAGAACAGGTCCTCTCACCCAAGGGGCTGATGTGCCCATCATGGTCTTCAGCAGCTGCCCATTGCGCTTACCCAGTCTTCCATTCTTTCCTATTTCCCACTTTTGTACCATGCTTCCAAGGATACCAGTGAAGACAACCCACAAAATGGGAAAAAAAAAATTTGCAAATTTTATATCTAAAAAGGGACTTAATATTCAGAATATGTAATAAACTCAACAATAAAAAGACAAAACCCAGTTTTCACGATGTTCAATGGATTTGAGTAGACATTTCTCCAATGAAGATATACAAATGAGCAAGGAGCACATGAGACGTTGCTTGCTCGGCAGCTTCATTTCAGCATCAGGGGAATGTAAATAAAAACCACAATGAGAGACCGTTTCACACCTACTAGCGTAGCTAAAATAAAAAGACAAGTGTTGGTGATGATGTGGAGAAATTGGGACCCCCATACTGGTTCAATGCAGCATTGCTGGTAGGTCTAGCAATGGTCTAGCCCCTTTGGAAAGTAATTCAGTAGTTCCCTGAAATGTTAAATATACTTACAACTCCACTCTGAGGTACATGCCCAAGAAAGTCAAAAACAAATGTTCACATAAGAACATCGACATGAATGTTCATAGCAGCACTCATTACTCAGAATAGCCAAAAAATGGGAACAGCCAAAATGTTCATTAATGATGAATGGTGAATGGAGAGACCACAAGTGGTATATCCATACAAGGGAGTATTATTCACCCACAAAAAGGAGGAAAGTACTAACAAATATATGAACCCTGAAAACATTATGCTAAGTGAAAGAAGTCAGAGAGAAGGACCATATATTATATCACTCAATTTATATGATATGCCCAGAATAGGCAAATCTGTGGAGTCAGATGAGTGGTTTCCTGGGGCTTTGAGGAGAGGGAATGGGTGGTGACTGATAGACGAGGACCTTCTTTTCGTGGTGATGAAAAGTTCTAAAATCAGAGGTGATAGTGGCACTGCTCTGTGAATATACTAAAAGCCACTGAATCATGTACTTTTAAAAGGATGAATTTCATGGTATATTTCAGTAAATCTGTTATTAAAAATGGGAGTTCTAATTCTAGTAAGCCAATAAAAAGAGAAAAGAAAAAAGAATACAGACGTTTTTATTTACTTATTTTTAGATTTGACTGCTGGTACTACAGAGAAAGTTAGTTCCAATTATAGAAAATAGATGGATTTTCAGTAGAAATGATAAAGGGAATTTGGAATTTTCAAAGGCATTAGAATTTGATGGCAGTAGTTCTTGATTGTTTGTAGTTTCAATTCAAAATTTATTAGTTTACTTTTCCAAGTCATCATAAATCCTAACCTTAAGTCTTGACCACAGTGAGGTTTAATTTGGAGCACGCAGCTGGAAAGTGACGGAGGGAGGAAACAGAATGAGAGCAAGGACTCATTTTTCTGAAGTAAGGGAGAAAGAGTTGCAAAGTGAAGGATGTTGATAAAGGAATATTCATGAGTTGGTGAGCTGTGAAAGGGTGAGAGGGATGTGGATGAGACCTGTGCTCAGTCCCCCTGCAGAGGAAAGGGAGACGACACTGGGCAGCCAGCCTGCAGGAACTTTCACTGGCCCCACGTATCTTGGTGACCCTCTGGGGTGAACTTGCAGTGGTGTGGAAGGAGGAACACTATCTATGCCATGCACAAGTTTTCCAGGAGCTCAGACTTCCCAGCTATCTCAGTATCCTGTGTCTCCTGGGAGTGTGGGACCATATATTTGATGCCTCTTAGTATCTCTCATAGCTGCCATTACTGTAACATACATCATAGATGTTCAGCCAGTACTTGTAGAATAATAAATGAATCAATTGAATGAATAGCAACTCAATCTGCAAAGCATGCTAAATAAACTACCGTGAGATTTTAATTTACTCCTTGGCCCTATTTCCTCTCTGTGGAACACTGTCACATAGTTACCTGCCTTCCTGCAATCCCACCCATTCCACAGCACTTTGAAAGGAGAGCTTTGCCATAGTCACGAACCTTTCAGTGTCTGCTTTTCTGAATGTTAAGTACAGCATCAAAGCCTTTTCCCATCCAGGCTGTTCCCTCTGGATGTATAACATAAATCCTCAGCCGCTGTTTTCCTTTCAGGCATACCAAGAATGCCAGCCACCTTTCCAAACCTCCCCCAACCTCCACAAAGTCTCCGGGCCTCGGGTCAGGCCTGGGATAAGAAAGTAGAGTTAACGGGCATATGCTTTCACTTCTACAGTGAATCAAACTTGGAATTTTAAGAATCTATTTCTTTTTTTCCTCTCTAGGAAAAAGTGCTTGGGATATCATGTGAAGAGGTAGACTGACACATCTGAAGGTCTGTAATCTGGAACATTCGTGCAGCAGTGGGCCGGTGTGCATCAGCCTCAGCATAGACTACAGGAGAAAATTTAAATGGACAGGCAGATGGGGCCTTGGGTTTTCAAAACCATCATTTCTGTGAGCAAGAGGCAGCAGAAGAGTGTTGCTCCTGTCCCACGGATAGACGGTAGAGGCGTGGCCCTTGACATCCATGTTTTCTAGGCCCTCCTTTGAGTGGGTGAGGAAATCTGGAAAGGTAAGTGGAATTTCGCCTTCCAGATATTCACAACAGAAGCCATCATCCTGCCTCTGTTGGCCACTTTAGGGAATGTGTGTTATAGATATTTGCTGTTCCCATGAGAGGAAAATGATAAATTGTGCATGTTTCTACTCTTCAGTTTCCATTACTATTTATTTTTAAAATGAAACGAGGTCATCAACATTTTGATTTTCCTCTTACTTTCTTTATAAGAAATGTGCTGTCATTGGTTCAGATACAACACATATATAGACACATATGTTGTCTTCTATAAAAGTTTATTTGTGCCTTTGTCTTATCCCTCCAGTAGACTGTATTTTTCCATCTAGAAAGGAGAGCTGCATGTATGTAGTTAAAATTTCCAGCATTGCACATTATACACAGTCGTCATTTCTAAATTGGATTCTGTGTATTTTGGTCTAGATATCAGGGCAGGTGTTCATGGGATGGTCTGGGCTCAAAGTAGTTATAATGAAAAGTTTTTACAGTCAAGCACACACATATGCTTGATGTCACACACCTGTGTGCACATGCACACACACACGCACACACAGACACACGTACTCAATTGCGTGTGCACACAGCCTTTTTTCTTCAGTCTATTCCAAATTGCCATAGTCCATGAAGCTTTTGCATCCCAGTAGCTACTCATGATCCAGGAGGAGGCGTGCTGCCTAGGCGGGGCTAAGTGCTCCCTACGAAGGGGCAATGGGAGGGGACACCCCCAGATGATGAGGTCGTGCTTGGCAAGGCTGGAGACCGAACTCAGCTCTTGGCCTTTCCCTTCTGCGATTCAAGCATCATTCTTCTTTACTAAGTGTTGTGTAAAAGTCTCACCATACGTCAGTTGATGGACTGTTCACCACTGACCATGTTTATATTGCTTTTGCCTCACTTTGCCTCTGTTTTTTGAATTTTTTATGTATAGATGTAGTTTCATGTAAAATAAATATAATTCTATCTCACGTATTATGTGTGCTTTAAAAAAGGAAAAGATAAAGAGATCCAGTGTTTTTCTTTTGCTTCTTGCTTTCCCTTCTCCTACTCCTCCCGCAGCAGTATCTGCCAGTGACCCATGTTAAAGACCTATTGTGTGTCATCCATGGTTTCTCCATCTCATATAGTCTCACACATACACGTATTTGTTTCCACATATGGGATGATATGACATAACTCCCTGCTTTTTTATTCTTACTCAACAAAATTCTGTAGAATTTTTTCCAAGATAACTAATATAATTCAAATTCATTCTTCTTAATAGCTCTATGCCAGACTCGGTTGTGTTAGGGAGCCATCTCGTATTTAATGCCTCTTGCAAGAGATAGTTATTAAATAGTCAACAATTTTGTAAGCAAGTTATAAACTGTAAGTGGCTTGAAATAATCCACAGTAGAAGAATTTACACCATGGAAATTGGCAAGCACTGCAAATCAGGGCCTTTGTTTTTTCACAAAGCTACCACACCATTGGTTTATAATAATTTATACAAGCAATCACCTTGTGACTGGCTGTTCATTTTATTTCTCCTTCTGTGTTTTTTCTGTCTTTCTCCCCACTGTGAACAATGCTGTAATAAGTTCAGATTTGAGCAGTGCTCTAATGAAGTTTTGGCAGTTTCCCCAAAGTCATTCTGAGTCCAGGCTGGGTGGGAAATTGGGGTGTTGGAGTCAGACCTGCCTGCAGCTGCCTATTGTTGGCTGTTGCGTCCAGTTTCGCCCTATGTGGATACTTCTTATGAGGGTCTCCCTGGTATTGGCCTCCCATCTTTCTTGCCATTTCACAGGTGTCACAGTCTTCTCCATCTAGGCCCTTCCTGCCTGCTGCCCTTACCTCCTCCACCCTTAACATTTTGAGGAAGATCCACATAGAATACTAAATTCACAGTCCCCTGTATTTTGAAAGCTCTGCATCTGGGAGGTTGTGGGTGGTGTGGAGGTTGGGTGGGAGTGGCAAGGAGTTGGCTCCTTGGGGCTCAGCCCTTCAGAATGTGATGGTACAGCTATGTCACTGATCCTCAGAACTGTCTCCAGCCTGCATCCATTTTCCACGCTCCCACTTTTTGTTTCTGTCTGCTGAGCATCTCCACTCATGACTCACCAGCACCTCAGCCTCAACAAATATCTCCAGAAAACCCCTCCTCTCTCCGTCTCTGCCTTGAGCACTGCCATGACTTTGGGAGGTGCTGCCATTCTTTCATCTGCAAGCACCCTGAGAACATCCATTTCTGTGGGATTTAAATGCCACGTGCAGAAAGCCTTGGTGTTCAGCTTAGTTCCCTCCCCCTCTTCCCCTCCAGGTCCTTTCTTCTCCCTCTTCTGAAGGAAGAGAAAAAATATTTTTCTCCAAATTGAATTTTTCTTTTTCATAGAGTTGTCAAAGAGAATGTGCTTGCACTTAAAGGTAGTAGATAATACTGTTTAGACAGAGAAGCCAAGCATGAAAGTCTCAAGAGGAAAGTGACACTCAGAGCTGATATATTTACCACGTTTTTATTGATGGAGACGCAAGTGAGCGGCAAGATCCCCTGGGTGACGAAGAAGTGGCAGACTGGGCTCCTCCAGGCTCTCCTGTCACCAGCCGCAAGGGAC